TGGTTGTATCGGTTTTCTTAGGAATTTACTAAACTCTACCTGTGTGTGAAAACTTTTGTCATCTGAAGTCTTTTGGATGTATGAGCTGTGGATTTTTGTTTGACCAAAGGGGAGGTATATGTGTGTTATAACATTCTCCAGTACTATATTTTCATTCTAACTCCTGTCTATAGATGCTGGATAGAGACAAGACAAATTCTCTTTTAGATTAGACTTTTTGGTGACCGTCTATACACCAAAACATTGGAGAGTATAGATATTTCTAAAATTCTTTCCTGGACAGAGTATTCTCTGTTTATTAACTTTACCATTCCATCCCCATAGACTTTTTTTTTCCCCTGTGGACTTTTTTTTGGGCTTTCTGCCATGTCAGAGTCCCAGTGGATATGTTAATCAAATTGACTCCCCTCCCCCCCGCCACAACCCCCTATAGAATGTCTGACAATCAACCTCACATTTTCCAACTATCTAACATAAGACCTTTGGTTTTGATTGCACAGTTTCTCATGACATTTTCTCTGACCACAGATACTTTAATTTCCTTTTGTTGAAAAGTCCTCTTTTGGTTTTTAAATTTTATTTATTTATTTTTAGAGAGAGGGGAAGGGAGGGAGAGAGGGAAATATCAATGTGTGGTTGCCTCTTGTGTGCCCCCTTCTGGGCACCTGACCCGCAGCTTAGGCATGTGCCCTGACTAGGAAATGAACCAGCAGCCCTTTGGTTCTCAGGCCAGCACTCAGTCCACTGAGCCACACCAGCCAGGGCTGAAAAGACCTCTTATCATTCCTAGCTTTGTGGTTTAGTATCCCAAAACCCTGAACAGGTACATGCTGTTATTTCTTCCGTTATTGGAAAGTAATCAAGCCTGGCTCCTGTGGTTATTAGTTGTAATAGCACTCTCTTTGAATCCTTGACTAAACTGTTCATCCCTCATCTGTCCTTTGGCAGAAAATACATATATCCCCAATGCCTGCTGTCACTTATATTACTGTGCTCCACATACTTCCACCTAATCTTGTACAATTAAATTGGACAGATCATCATATAAATATAAAATTCTATATCCAAGATCTGTTATTCTGTTTTATTTTTATGATCCACCTCCACTTCTCCAGTACCTTCTGTTTACTCTCAAGTAAGATAAACCACTGATTCCTTGGCCCTTGTCTAGATCCCCTAGCTTCTAGGTCTTTGGTTTATGTAATGACATATGCATAGCTCTTTCTCTATCATGACTCCCTGTTGATCATCCCTTTTCCACATCATCTTTATATCCATGTCATTACTGTTTTCTCTACCTCTTGGTTTCAAATTACTGATTTCTCTCTGGAGTCTATTCAAAACCAAGGTTTTGAGGTTGGCTTTTGTTTGCTTTTTTATTTTATATTTAGGGATTATAAGTAAAGAGTGGTTTAGGAGAGACAGTTCTAGATACATACTAAAGCAGTGATAAGGAAATGAATTTGTTTATTCTCTTTTCTCTTTGACTAAGACTATAGTGGGATTTTTTTTTTCACAGAAGGCTACATTTAAGTAAAAATTCATTTAATTTAGTTATTTTAATTTTTTTAATGACTTTTTTTTTTTTTTTTTTTTGAGAGAGAGAGGGTAAGGGAGGGAGAAAGAGGGAGAGAAACATCGATGTATGAGAGAAACATCTATCAGTTGCCTCTCCCACATGCCCCAACTAGTCCTCAACCCAGGCATGTGCCCTGACTGGGAATCAAACTGGGTAACCTCTTGTTCTTTGTGGGGTGACATTCAACCATCTGAGCAATGTCAGCCAGGGCTTAATTTAGTTATTTTTAAAAGGTGGTTGATGCATCAAATATTGTCACTTCCTTTTAAATTTTCTTTTGAAATACGGGCAGGGGGTAGAGAGACGTGGAAACAGAGTAAGGAAAGTGACAAATTCCATAGTACAGGCAGAGAGATTTTTCTTTTTCTCTTAAATGGGAGAAGGAGACAGATACAGAAACTGAGTTAAATAAGTGATAATCATGAATATAATATCTCATATTCATTAAGCACCATGTGCCTTGCATTGTGCTAAGCACTCTGTATTCATTATCTCATTTAATACTCACAACTGTGAGTATTATTACTCCCTTACTACTTTACAGCTGAGAGAACAGGTTTAAAGGCCCTAAGATACTTGCCCAAGACCACTCAGCTTGTAAAAATGGCAATCTGACTTCAAGTCCACATTCTCAGCAGCTCTCCCTCTCTGGGTAGGCCTATTTGTGGATGAAATTTATGTTTGTTAAGTAGGAATTAAGTTCATCTTTCAAAATACAAAGTAACCTAGAAATTTTCAGATCTGTCTGTATATCACTTCATAAGAAAACTAAAAGTCAAAGATATTAAGTAATTCAAATCCAAGCTAGCTAACCAAAAATAATCAGGTAGTGCTTTCCTCTGTATTTTAAAGGCTGGAATTACTTATTTTTTTTTAATTACATTTGCCAAGTTTTATTTTATCAATTTACAAATTGTAATGATATTGTCACTATGTTATTCATACTCTATATAGAACTAATTTATCAAGATATTACCAGTTTTCTTTTTTTACTCAGTTGCCTCATTTAAAAAGTTATAAAATTTTTATATGATTTTTAAATTGTCATTTTTGTCATTTTTATATAATTCATACATTTTATACATAAATAATTTAAGAATTTAATACATGAATTCTGTATTAGTCATTTTTTATGAAATTAGTATTTTAGAGACTGGTGAGTGAGATTATAGAAGGAAGAGTAGGGCTTAGAAAAGAGAGCTTTAACTAGATAGTGTAGCAAAAGTGATGGGGTATGAAAGGAGAAAATATTCTTGGTAGTAATTTAACTGTAGACTCTCAGGAAAAGTGAGCCAAAAGGTGTTCAGAATTAAACAAATAAATGCTTTGCTGTTCTATACTGCAGTTATGTAAAAGACTATTGAGTAATAATCAGTACTGCTGACAGTGGACCAGTTACAGATTTTTTTGATAAGTGTCAAGATCTAAAAGAGGGAGAAATTGAGGCTGATGGTCCTTGAGAAGACAAGTCAGTTATACTAGGAATGGAGTACCTTTTTAGATAAAACATATAAGTATTCATATGCTCTGGATGATAATAGCTATAATAGAAACCATTGTAGAAATTACCCCTCCTAAAGTATCACCTGGAGAAAAATTATTGATAAGATTGTGGTTCTTCCCCAAGCACACAGCCAATCTAATATGTGATTTACATAAAATAAATTATAAAGCTTAGATATGATATAATGGTATGTTGAAATGTGTTGTGGTAAGTGTAAACAGAAGGGTCAGATCTATTCAGTAGAAAATTTGCTGGAAAGAACTTTTATTTTTTTCTCTTAAATTATTCTAGGACAAGGTAGACTCTAACTGGGTATTAAAAATGTTACAATAGCTAATGAGGACCATGACTCTGGCTCTCAAGGAGCTTAAAATGTATTGAGGGATGATTAAGTAAACAGACAATTACAATTCAATGTATAAAGTGCTAATGTTAGTCTAAGGTGGGATTATTACCTTCTATGATGTGAATCCTCAAGCACCTCGCATAGTGCTGAGCATATGATAGGCATTTGATTATTTGATGAATTGAAACATACCTGATTTTTAAAAAAAGAGTTAACCTGGACTTAATTTTTGCTTAAAATAATGTCCTTAAACTTCATATCAAAATATTTTTCTTTATGAGCCATGCTATTATAACAATTTCAGTGACTATATAAATTAGTCAGTATATACAGCTAACTCTTGAATGTAACTGGTGGTAAACAATAGGAAAAACTTTGTACATTAGGAAGAGCCATGTCCTTCAGTGCACCCATAATAAATGTTCAAAAATAATTACTTTTTTTAATCCAGATTTTTTAAAAATATTTTATTTATTTATTTTTAGAAAGAGGGGAAGGGAGGGAGAGACACACCAATAGGTTGCCCCTTGTACGCCCCCAACTGGGGACCTGGCCCACAACCAAGGCATGTGCCCTGACTAGGAATCAAACCAGTAACCTTTTGGTTCGCAGGCTGGTGCTCAATCCACTGAGCCACATCAGCCAGAGCTAATTACTTACTTTTTAAAGCTTCACAATTCAGTAATTTCTCTACCTACATCATCAAATTCCTTTAAAGGAATTTCTTATTCTAATTATTAAGATTAACTGATGATAAGAGGGGACATGAAAAGTATGATTTTTGTGCAATAATAAACACTGTATTAACCCATGGGAACTCTGAACAAGTAAATGAAAGTCACATCCTTGGCAAATGTGAAGAAAAATGACTTATAATTCTAATGTGATATATTAGGGACACTTTACACCTGATTGGAGTTAGAACTAAAGCATATGAAAAATTAGAGATCAATACCAAACTCTTTGGTAGTGACTAAAGGCCAGAAATACAGAGATTAAAACATATAGTCTGGGGAATAAGTCAGGAAAACGTAATCACAGTATAGCGTGATTCAGTGCTACAATAGAAATACATACAAGGTACTGTTGGTTTATGAAGGAAGAGTGACTAATGGTACAGAAAAAGGAAAAATTAGTATGAATTGGATTAGTCATATAGGCTTATAACTATAGGCAATGTGATATTATTTTAGTATGACTATGTTTTATTTGTTACCTGATATATTCTTTAGGAATTTATATAGTACTTTTCTATTTTGTGAAATGAGATTATAACCCCCCAAAGGCCTATAAGTCATTTAGTTGTTGAGCATGACAATAGCTCCTGAAATTACAGTATAATTTCTCATTATACTGTAGTGTACCAATTATAAACTATATTCAAAACCAGGTAGATTTAATGCAGTGAGCAAATAGATATCTACTTGGTCTACTATTTATTATGTTGTGCAGATCTAACTAGTAGAAATAATTAATATGCTTTAAACATACAGATTATAAAATTTCTCTTAAATATTAATTAGTTTTAATTAACTTAACAGTCCTTTTTCTTTTGTTATTTTTTTATTAAGGGTCTACTGTATTTACTAGTAACAGACCAGGGGTTTCTTACTGAAGAAAAAGTTGTTTGGGAGAGCTTACACAATGTTGATGGTGATGGAAATTTCTGTGACTCAGAATTTCATCTGCGGCCGCCTTCAGATCCTGAAACTGTGTACAGAGGACAGCAAGATCAAATAGACCAGGTAAATGTGTTTTGTCTTCTTTATTTTGTTTCAAATGCTCATTCCTTTTCAAATATGAATTTAGCTATCCAAAACTTTTGAACTATAGATTTATTCATTAATATACTTGTGAAATTTTCCTGACACTTCCTAAATAGGTAAGTCATCATTCTATATGTTTATTAATTATACGCTTTGGTTCAGAAGATCACATCATAGAGAACTGTGAAGGTCATGGTAAGGAGTTTGAATTTTAATTCAACTGTAGTAGAGAAGATAGTCCAAATATGCCACGTGGAAGTGACATGATCTACTTCACCTTTTTTAAAAAAATATTTTTTATTTACTTATTTTTAGAGAAAGGGAAGGCGGGGAGAAAGAGAAGGAGAGAAACATCCATCAGTTGCCTCTCGCACACACCCAACTGGGGACCTGGCCTGCAGCCTAGGCAAGTGCCCTGACCAGGAATCAAAATAGTGACCCTTTAGCCTGTGGGATGACGCCCAACTCACTGAGCCACACCAGTCGGGGCTAGTTCACCTTTTTAAAGGTTGCTAGGTGGCCCTGGCTGTGTGGCTCAGTTGATTGGAGCATCGAGCATGTGCAGAAGGTGGCCAATCAATGTTTCTCTCTCACATTGATGTTTCTCTCTGTCTCCTACTTCTCTCTTTGGGATCAGTGGGCATGTCCTTGGGTGAGGATAATAAATAAATAAGTAAATAGTTGCTAGATGGAGACTATAGAGGAAGGACACAGGTATAAGTAGAGATTAGTAATCCAAGTAAGAGGGGATGATGCTTACTTAGCCTTGGTTGGTAGAGATAAAAAGAAGAGTGCCTATTTGGGATATATTTTGGCTAATTAGAAAATGTAGAAAAGGGGAGTGTTGAAGACAGCATGCACTAGGTAAAGTGTAGATGGGTATTCTAAGCCTTAGAGTCCAAGTTAAGGAAGAGTAGACTATTGAGTAGATTATCCAGTTAGAACTGAGACAGATAAGACTTTTCCCTGCAACAGGTAAGTAGCTTGCTGCCACAATATTTACTACTAAAGTATAACAGTGATGTGACTTCTCCAACTGAGGCTGAAATATGTTAAATGGTTAACATATGTTTTGCTGATAACAATTTAAGTGCATAGAGACTGGTTTAATTTAGCCAATATTCATTGAGCAGTATATTCCTGGCACTGTAACTACATCCTGGGGACACAAAGATAAATCATTCGATTTTGCCCTCAAAGATTATGCAGTTCTAGCAGGGGAAGTAGTTATTTGACCAACTAAAACTATGTGTTGTTATATAATGGCAATTTGAATAGCAAAGTATGAATGCACAAAAGAATACTTGATTCAAACAAATGTCAATATTTCTAGGACTTTTGGCTTTCCTTTGACAGTCACAATAATAGACATACTCATTTTGTTTCAGAAGCTGTATAGGGGCATTGTTTTTTAAATATTACTAAAGAGAAATATACATGATTTTTCTAATCATTATATGTGCAAAATATTGGAGCAGAAAGAATGAAGGTAAAGCAATAGATTACCACAGGAGATCCAGTTGTAAGGTATTGAGATTTTACACACACACACACATGAATGCAGTAGCCAGGAAGGAGTGGATTTAAGACCATGGGACTTGGCAAAGAGCAGAGTTTCAAGAATTAAGGAAAAAGTTTGAAGGATAATTTCTTGATATCAGTAAGATGGTCATGCTAGATAGATAGTACAAGGATTTCACAAGCAACATATCCTATGCAGTTTTTAAATTTCTTTAATTTTGGGGAGGTGCACAGAATAGTCCAGTTTCATTCAGCAGTTACTGTTAATGAAAGTGGGTGCTAAGTTGGATAATATAACTTTTGATCAAAGAGGCATCGCTTTTTCTCACAAGAAATTATCTGCATGGGTATGTGTGAGAGAGAAGTAATGGTTAAGTAATTGAATATGACTGTATGGTGGACAACTCTGTTGACTTTAAAAATCATGTTTTGGAAGAATTTTAATAATTTTGGGAAATTCTTATACTTTTTTTTAAGCAGAAGATTTTTATTACATTAAATGGAAAAGAAAACATGGTAATTTTAGGGATTGGGAAATGTGTTTGAGTTTGTATATGAATGTGGAAAAACTGGGTGGATATATATTAACTATTAAAAGTTATCTCTGTGTAATAATACAGTAGTTTTGACTGTATTATTTATACTTTCATATTTTGTACTGATTTTCTACAGATGTGTTTTCTTTTGTAAACAGGGGAAATGTTTTTAAAACTTTCTCGAATGTCTTATATACTGTTTCAAGAAAGAATTTCAAATGAATTCCAAAAAATATTTAGAACAATGGCACAGCATCACTGAACTAAGTTTACATTCCCAGACAGAAACACTTAGATAACTTTGGTTTTTACATTTAAACTCTGATATGTTTTTTAAAAGGCATTCTCATTTTGTAGATGTAACCTCTATATTTGCACTCATTAGTACTTGGGTAAAGTCTCATAGCTAAAGATGGTTATACTTTTCATTTCTTAGGACTACCTTATGGCATTATCTTTACAACAAGAACAGCAGAACCAAGAGATCAACTGGGAACAAATACCTGAAGGAATCAGTGATTTGGAACTGGCAAAGAAACTCCAAGAAGAAGAGGATAGACGGGCTTCTCAATATTATCAGGAACAGGAACAAGCAGCAGCTGCTGCTGCTTCTGCTTCCGCTTCCACACAGGCTCAGGTAAAACTAGTGTTCTTATTCTTGAACATAATGATCACTGTCACTAGAGACATTCGTGCTGAGATAAAGTTTTTTAATTAGGTATTGACTCTTCAATTATGTTAGCATTTTAGCAGCCATTAGGTTTTATAACATTATCCTATTTTTGTGATTATATTAATATTTTTCTCATTTAGAGAAGTTATTTTTTGTAAGGTCCTGATGACAAGATTTCTCAAATTTATTTTTTTAAGTTATTAAATAGCTGCAAAGAATATAAATCAACTTAAACAGTCTTTTCTGTCAATTAGAGGACAGTATGAGTTATTAACGGAAAGAATATGGACTTCAGAGCCAGATAGATGTGTATTTGCATATCCTGCAACACCTTAGATAAAGCCCTCTGCCTCTTAGCCTCATTGCCCTCTCTGTAAAATAAAAGATAATACTTAACTCTTAGGTTGTGGTTGAGAACAACTAACCCAGTGTCTGACATGTACTAAGTAATCTACAAAAATTAGGAATTTCCCACTTTTTATTCTTCCCAGTTGAATGTTTTAAGCAGTGAAAATGTGACTATTAAGTGGGTTTCTATATGTTAAGTCTCATTGCATTAAGTTTTTTAATAAAAATCCCATTTTTATAGTTAACTGTACCTTGCCAGAATTGGTCCTTTGATTTGTATGTATGAAAAAGCAAGATGCTATTGAAGGGCGGATGAAGATTTCAATATAGAGGTCTCCAGCAAAATACGTATCTATTTCTAGTTCAAATATTGACTACAGCAAGCTTAAAAGTTAAGACTTAACCATTTATGATTAGTTTTTCATTTAAAATGTCTCTTGCTTCACCAAATACACTTATTCCACACTCTGTTTTCAGGATTTTTGTTCTCCTTTTAAAATCTGTTTATTATGCCATTTACTGTGGTCTTGGAGACCTATTGTAATTTACCAAATGATGTCACTTTCATTAACATTTTTCTAAATTTCAACATAAGTATTTCTTGAATTTGAGGCTTCAGGTATGATACTATTTATTGTTTGAAATTCTATTTACTTAGGCTAGTAGATGCATTAAGTATATCTATCAAGAATGGTAGAGGCAACTACTTAGATACCATGTAACATAACAAGTCTATACACCAATAGCTTCTTTTTCCATTAATGAGTCCTTTCACTCGTGTGGTTTTTCTTTCTAGATAACTATGATTGAGTACCTTAGAAAAGTTAAAGTAATTTATTCCTGTTTATTTTTCCTAAAGCAAAGCCAGCCAGCACAAGCCTCTCCATCAAGTGGAAAACAATCTGGAAACAGCGAACGTAAACGAAAGGAACCTCGAGAAAAAGATAAAGAAAAAGAAAAGGAAAAAAATAGCTGTGTTATTTTGTAACAAGTGTTGGATTCTATTGGAACCATCTATATGTCTTGAGAAACAAAACCACAGGAGGAAAGGAAGAAAAACCGATAAATACCGTCTGTGCCTGATTTCCCAAGGGATTTTGTTCATGTTTTTCAGGGGAAAGGTTGTTACTTAGCTACAATCAGACTTTTTCAAGTCACACAGTACACTCTTTATGAGCTGGAGTTTCATGTTACAAGTTGGAAATGCTGTGTGTTGTCATCCATGAAAAATATTGCACTTGTAGCCAAATAAGCAAATCACAGCAAATTTTGTGTCATAGTGACATTCATAACTCCTATCAGTTAGTAAGCTATTTTATCTTCTGTTCTAACAGTGAATGGAGGTAATTGATTTTGTCTGATTCCTTCCTGAAAGCTAAATATTAGCACAATAGTTTCTGAAATTAATTTTTACAATGTTAAATTATGATCTAATCCAGAAGAAACCAGGGGTTTAATATAGGGACTTAAACAGAAAAAAAAGACAAAAAAAAATAACAGGAATAAATAACTCTTAATTGTACATCGGACTAGTTCAGCCCTTGAACAGCTTTACCTTTCTTTAGGAATGTACATTTTAGATATTATTGTTAAGAACTGATAATGGAGCTTGGGTTTAATTAGATAGAAAAAAAATAAAGATTTGTATTTGTTTTCTAGTAGCAAAAAATTACATAACACTAATCTCATATCTTATCAAAATCAGATATTATGACTTTGTAGTGTGAAATTTTGAGGAATTTTGAAATCTGTAACATAGGTAACTTGGACCACAGTTACTATTTCCTGATAAGAAAAGGAAACCACAGTGGATGCTAGGCTTTGTAAAAATGGGGATATAGAAAAGAAAATGGTTCAATGTCTACCTTTTTCTAGAATTACCTTGAACCTTAAAATATAAATCATGTTTATTTGCTAGAAATTTAAGTATACTTACTAAAATCAACAAAAAAAGCACATTTCTGAAAGGAAGTTAGAGATAATCTGAGTCTACTAAAAAATCATTAATAAAAATCTGTTGGAGGAATTTATATAAAAGCAATCAGATTTTTTAACTTATGGGAACCAAATAAAACTATAACATCTTGTAGTGTTTGTAGGACTCAGAAAGAATATTTATTGAACTTTATCATGAGGCAACACATATATTCCTGTATTTCTAGGTATAGTTTGGAAAACTGTCCTTAATAGTTTCTTTTTATACACTTTATATTTAGTTTGTTTTAGTAATTTTTAAAACAGCTATTGCTGCTGCAAGTAGTTCTGTGATTTACATTCTAAGCCTCAGTGAATTTGTTTAAGAGCATCAGTGTCACTTGAGCATCCACGTGGAGAATGTTGTTTGTGGTCTGGGATGACAATAGACTACCAAAAAATGTGGTCTAGATCGCTTCAAGTATGTCCTTAAGATTCTCCGTGATCTAAGACAAGTTATAGGATTAGTCTACATGTAAAAAGTAAAGTCTTATTTATGGAAGGAATTATTCTAAGGGAAAAATCCAGGGTCAAGCTGTATCTTTTATGTCTTATGTATTGCATGTCTGTTTATGTTATACCATTTGTTATTTCTTCTAATTTCCTATTCTAGCATGATAATCATCAGAGAACCTGTTTGGGGTATAGAACTTTGATATAAAATATTTGGTGAGTCTCTTGATAATAACACAGAATATGCGTACATTGGTAAAGTAATCAAATGTACCACAGAATTCTCTGTTGGCTCAAACAAGTTGACCTTAGTCCAGGTTTACTCTTGATATCACTCTGGTTGAAGGAGGAAACTAAAACCTCAGGGTTTCTTTTTCCCAGAACAGATAGTAGTGATAGTGCATTATATTTTAATAAGAAAAAACAAAACAATAAATCCTGAGAAATTTTACAAAGCATATTTGAGGCATATTTTCCCATAATTATATACTTATCTATTTATTGCCCTTGAAAAATATATGTGTAGGAGTTACTTTTCTGTTATTTGCTACTGTTGTCTTAATTTGTTCCAAAGATTATACTGCCATTCTCCATTCCCTCTGGAAGAAAAAAATAACTCACTCAAAAGCAGCAATGCTATCAGTTAAGTAGATGTCAATGTATACTTACAAGAAGTAACTAAAAAATGTAATGTGTTAGTTAATGTAACCTTTTTCTATGTTGTATTTCCAAGTCAGATTTTCTTACATTCCTGGAAAGTTTGATATACCAAGAGTGATAATGATAAAATGTTTGATTTGATTACTGTGGGGAAAAAAATTAAATGTTCAATTCTATTAAAACAAACAAACTTCTCAGAGATACTGGTTTCCCATCCTTGAAGGTTATAAAGAATTTAGAGCTATTGTGTCTTTATTTTCTTATATTTTTCTCAACAAATTATATTTAGACATTTCATTGCTGGTTTGGGTACGTTGGAATTTGGTAGCAGTATGTCAAAGTCGTTCATTCACAGTAGTTTGCAGTACTTGAACATTGTTACATGTATACTGCTAGCAGCAGTTAGAACTCAAACGTTTTTGTTTTTAATATTCATAGGCTAGATTAGGGGCACATTTGCACCAACCAGTCTCCACTACAGCTAGTAAGCAAGGCACATGAATGAATGATATGATCACTATACTTCCATACTATCAAAATCTATTCCTTAAGGTTAGTGACCAGTCTTTATTAACAATATGAATTTTCTTCTTATCTAAGACTATCGAATCAATAATGCTATGATTCACAATAGGTTATCAACATTTAAAAGTACTTACTGTTTATTTCTGAAGCAAGGATCCATGACTTCTATTAGATTCTCCAAGGAATCTGGGAATTTTCCTCAAATTTAAGGGTCAACATTTTAAGGATACACAGACTATGCAGTTTGAGGTGGCTAAAATTGGCAGTGGCTGTTTCCTGTAATATGTTGGTTCATTGTAGTTAGGTAAAGTAACTGCTATATTTCAAGGTGTCAGGTTAGTTGAATGAGGCATAGGTTTAATTTTAAGATTAGGAATTGGAATATATTGTTTTATTGTCTCACATTTCTAGTATTTGACTACTAATCCCTTATTATGTTTTGAATTCTTCCTCATACTTCTTGATCATAGTTTAATGAAGCAAGTTAGAATCAGAGATTAGTTGACTGAACCCAAAATTAACCATTTTGTACTTACACACGAACTTACTTTGTTTTTAATGAATCACCACTTAAGTTCCCTAAGTGACAGAAGATCTTGAGAGAGAAGGACTAGAAGTCAAATAGATATTTAAGGAAAGAATTATTGTGGTCCCTTATTAATGTAGGCATATGAAGCAGAGAAATCAAAGCAAGAATTTCCAGAACTGTCCTCAATCTCATTTACTTAAATATTTTTAGAAAACAAAAAGCAAACTTTCCCATTCAATATACCAGTCATTTTCAATATGATGGAAAGCTATGGGCTTTACCTATCACACACTACTTGAGCATACAACTTAAACTATAATGGTAAACTTATATTTGATAAAGTAAGATGGAGGCATTAAGATAGTTATATTTTAATGAATTGGAAATGTAGAATTAAGAAACACTTCATCTCTAAAAATTTGGCTTTTATCTTGCCATAGTAAACTTTCTGTGCCTCAATTTACTCAAAAAATGTAAATGATACTTTTTTAGTGCTTTGCACTCCTGAATAAAGGGCATAGTATAAGCACAAAGTATTACCTAAATAATCATAATTATACACATCTTTTGTTCTTGAATGTGCAGATTTTTTCCCCAATGACTATTTCTTAAACCAGTTGTTTAATGCTGTCATAATTTGTAGAATTATTGTGTCTTAGAGTATGGCTTCATCTCTTCCGAAAAGGTATTTTACTGTTCTCTTGTGTTTTGTGGACTATAGGGTCAAAATCAAGAGTATTTAGTAAGAATAAAAACCACTAAAATTGTATTTCTCCCAGTACCTTTCATATATATTTAGATTCTCTGCCTTTTCCTCCATGGAACAAAGTATAATGGTATCAGGTTAGTAGTACCATATATGTGAACTTTATTGCATGGATGGAATACATTTAGATCTCTCAACTACTGTCGTTTTTAGGGCTATTTAAATTGTTTTTAGTATAAAGTGTCGATAATGTGCATTTAAATGTAGTTTAGAAAATGACTGAAAATGGTGAAGGACCTCATCAGAGTCAGAGTTCTCAGGTTCTCTGGTAATTTCATGTCTTTTTTTCCCTGACGTCAAACACCTCTGAAGCTTTTGGGAAAACACGAAGAATTGAGGTTACTCTTCTTGGTGACACTATAAAACAAACTAAAATTTAAAATAGAAAGCTTCCTGAACAAAATAAATGCAAAATAGAGCTAATGGAGTCTAAGCAACACATTGCAGGGCCCAGATAAATTTAACTTTGAAGATCTGAATTTTAATTAATGCATGTATTTGACTTAATCCTCATGTTTCTGCTTTAAGTAATTAGAGTTTAATAAATTGATACGCATATATATTCTTATGGGAAGGATTCCAGTTTCTAATTTCACTTCTATCTAAAAAACATTAAACTCAAGAGCAGGGTAAAATTCTTCAACTACCGCCTCAAGTTCAGCTTCACACAATTGTTCTGAGAAAGGAAGAAATTTAGACTTGTCTGCCTGTAACAGATGTCTTTAAGGGCATGGTACTATCCCAGATAAGGTGTTGAAATACCATGGCAGAAATACAGAACCTAAGCTTTAAAGCACAGTAGATTAAAGGAAAAAAAGTAGAAAAAATCTACTTCATTAGATATTACAAGAATTTCTTCAAATCATGTAGTAATTTGTCACCAATAACTAAAAACTATATCCATCCTCAATGTAATGTCCTGCTTTGAGAGGTAGGGAGGCCTCCTAGATAGAAAATACACAAAAATTTTTCTCAAGGTGATCCTGGCTTTGTTGGCTTTAGTAGCTACAGCTTTAAATAGGAAGTCAGGAAACTAAGTTGCCCACGTAAATTCCAAGTCAGTGACCTGTCCAAACTAATATTATAACTGACTACTGAGCAGTTCTAACCAATGGGATGAATTTTGAGACTAAGGTCATTTAATCTTTGAAAATATGTCTTGCATGTCTCTCAATTTTGCCAGATTTTTTTGTTCCTTTTTACATCTTGGTTGTGTGAAACAATCATTTTTTCCAGAGTATATAAGATACTTAAACTTTACAGATTTTTAAAGATGAGGATTTGAAAAGCTTCCAATGGTTTTTGTTAAAAATCTTCCTCAATAAAATGACAACTGTTCTCACAGATCTGCACATCATAAGTAAGACAACATGATACAAGATTGATGTATGATTGCTACACAACAGTCAGCAAATGGGACAGCCTTCACTTGTGAAACTTCAGAGAAACCCTGAAAGTCATTTCCTAAAGTTAGTGCATGTGAGTTTTTCTCCTTGAATTGTGCAGAATAATTGAATCGTGGCACATATTTGGGGGAATAGCAAGTGAAATTGTATAAAGGCTGTAGAGAAAGTGATCTTGAAATATAGCAAGAGGAAGAAACAAGTTTTCTTCCTTTACTGTCAGACTATTTGGGTCAAGAAGTTTACTGTGACATAGATCTCTCTGCCTGGCCAAGATTGGCCTGTTAAACAAGGATCTCAAAGAGTTTAAACAGTGTATGAGTGCCTATTTTTTCTCCTTTTTTACTATCTTAATGCCC